ATTTTTTATTGGACCAACTTCTGGTCTCTTCTTCAGGTCTGTGGAGCTTGAAAGCTTGTGTCTCTTACCAACAGAAGACAGTCCAATAAAAGATATTACCTCACCCACCTTGTTAGCTTGTTAAGGTATTTTCAAACAGGGAGTTTCTTGGCCGGTCATTCTTTGGCAAATCCTATTCCTTCACCCGTGGAGATGCCAAGAGAAGCTGTCTGGAAAATGTTTCCTTTCTTTTTTAAATTCAGCAGAAAAATTTTGATGAAAGTCAACATTTTTTCACTTTCATCAAATTCTTAGCCAAAAATGTTCTGACGTGATGCCAAAAACCCGAAACAGAACAAAATTTGGCAACCAAAAAGCTTTCTGCTGAAATGTGCAAAATTTCATTTTTCTGGCTTTTTTGGTTTTACGAATGAAAACTCACAAATTTTAGAGGAAAGCAGACACACTTTCTGCTGTCAAAAAGGTCAAAACCCCAATTTTCCATTGGGGAAAAAAATGTCAACCAGCCCTAGGGCACAGTACGTAGCAGGCCTGGCATGGTTCCCTGCATGGGATGAATAGACAGTGGCCTGGGAGCCTAGACTTGGTGTCCGTACCCCCATATACCCAGGAGGACAGCTGAGCAGAAGATCTCTGTGTGAAATTTTTCAGACAAATAATTTATTAGTTGAAAAATGTAGTTTCAGTCGGCATAGAACTATTTGGGAGTTTGACCTGATAGTTTTGGCTGGGGAAAAGTTTGTCGGGGCCAGCAAACAGTGGGTATGCTTTGATTTACCAGCTCCCCTTTAGCCCAGGGGTTAGGACGCTTGCCTGGGATGTGGGCGAGCCAGGTTTGAATCCTTATCTTAGAGTATAGAACTCAGCTCTCCTGGTGAGCAGCCCAGCCACCATATTGTAGGCTATCCTGTGGTGGGCTGCACTCTCAATATCTCCTGTTGAAGTTATTCTGCTTTGTATTAACATTTAAATATTCATTGGGCCAAAGAGAGAGACAAGAGCAGCTCTATAGCCTGGTGATGAAAGCGCTTTCCTGGAGGTGCGAGATGTGGATTCAAATATTCTCTCTGCCTGCTTCAGAGGAGGGATTTCAATCCACTCCTCCCAGCTCTGCTGTTATCCTGTGCAGAGGAGCATAGCAGGAGCACAAGCTATGGCATCTCTGACGGTGCTTACCTTTCTGCTCCCCATGGATTTCAGCTCATCTACCAGGTGTGACTTGGGAAGGCTTGGATTTGGATCTGGCTGCCAAGTGCCTGAGCATTTGGAGTTGGGCTGTGAGTCGGTTATAGAGCTGGGACATTTGGAGCTGCAGGTTATTGGCTGGATCCCATCTCCAATGTGAAGCCTACGTAGACATGTTTGCTAACAGGCAAAAGGGTTCCAGGTCTACCTCTGAAAGGGAAAAGTTGTTATTTACGATGGGCGGGGGTGACTATAAAAGGAGGAGCAATGGAGAAGGCAGACAGGTACATTAGCACAGGGAATGGTGAACCTTGCAGACATTGGACCACACTCGTCTGTGTTGTAAACCCAGTGACCTCGGGGAGTTGAGAGGAATTGGGTCCATAAGGTTTCCAGTGGAAAAAATTTCTAAAAAAAAAAAAAAGTTTCCAGTTACAAGTTTCCCTCCCCCAAATTAATACAGAATGGAGAAAAGGTAAATTCTCCCAAGCCCAAACACCCACTTCCTAGCCTCCAACCCAAGACATGAGGCAGACATTGCAGCTGCAGTAAAAATACACTAAATTAAAAGCATGTACATGATGACAGATGACCACTCTAACACCAGAAAAGAAAACCCAGGGGAAAAGCAAGCCAGACTAAGACAAACAAACAAACAAACAAAAGAGCTTTGAAGGTGGGTGGCTTCCATGTACTACCGTTTGCCATTGACTACAACAACGTCATGCTGTGGTTTGTAATTGAGTGGATGCGAGGGGAGGGGAGGAGCCTTTGAGGTGGGTGTGGTTAGAGGGCATTTAGGACTGTGGTGTGTTGGGCTAAGTATGGAGATGTTCTTATTGCGGCACTTGACTTTGAACACAAACGTTGTCCAGAGTGTGAGGTCGGGTGCCAGCTGAGCGAAATGTCACAACAAATAGTTTTACATTTGAGTCTGAGTCAACAGAGAGCAGCCCCTGGTGTAAAGGCTCAGTCCGACTTGTCTTGCCTATTGTCTAAGAGGGCTTCTAAAGAAGTCATGGATTCATGGGGGCTGCCCAACCAGGGGTGGGTTTGGAGAGAATTGAGTCAGGTGAAGAGCTCAAGTGGGGAATCTCACAAGACCGTGGAAGGAAAGAAATGGAACGGTTCCAAACAGCTGTCTAAAGATCCATTTGTTTCAAAATAAAAGGGCATGGACAGCGATGGCTGGACCTGAAAAACACCTCTGAGCAGAGTGAAGGGAGTACAGGGGGTGGGTTATGAGTTTACCAGGGAGGAGGACAGGTGGGGCCAGTGTTAGGTTTTGTAGGGCCCTCCAGAAAGTAAAAAATGCAGGTCGCCAACCATCTCCCTCTCTGTGTCTCAGCCCCCAGGCTCTGTGGCTGGGTGAGAATGAGAGTGAAAGAAGAGAGGGGTGGGAGAAAGGAAGGGAGAAATGAGTGACGGGAGAAGAGTGAAGATCCTACTTCAAGATCCAATATTTTAATACACATCCCTAGAACGCTGTGCGAGCTTCCAGCGGGTGACATAATACAACACCAGCTGACTCCAAGGAAGCCGCATCAGTGTCCTTTATGAAGTACAGAGCCATAAGGTTCCTTGTAACATGTTTATTAGCATTGATCCTTATTACGTGGAAAACGTATACACTGAAGATGCACGCAGTGCTTCAGACACCGTCAATCAGAATCACCAGAAAGGTTCAGATTCGGCTGGTGTCTGTGGTGAAATTAATACACATTGGATGCATTTTGGACACGTAAAACTTGTTAGGAGCATATTTGCAGGCTAAGCCCTACAGACTCCCTCCTGTGGTGTAATTATGGTCTGTCAGGCAAATAGGCACTTTACAGTATGTGCAATAACTCAATACAGGATAGACTAATCTACTGCATCAGATCTCACGAGTTCCTGTAATCAATTTAGACCCAATCTGGGAACTAACAGCGTGTTGTTTAGTTGCAGGATCAGGGCCTCGTTCCTTTCTCTACAGCAGGAGCAGAAAATAAATTAAGCTGCAGAAATCCAAGTCATGTCAATGATCTGACTTGCAAGTTGCAGAAGGTTAACTCCATTAGTTGGCAGCGGTAGTAGACTCCTACCCTCTGACGGGGCCTCCCATGCGCCCATTGTGGAGTACAGAAATATTTTTGAACCTCCAAAAGCATCGTTCGAGTTTGGGGTGCAAGGTTGGGGGCATTTTTTAAAATCTTTGAACTGATGCTGGGCCTACGAGGAAAGCAAGCCAGCCAGCCAGAATTTCACTCCAGAAAAGATGGCTATAGAATAGACTACATGAGCAAATGCCACCAACAAAATTAAAGCCTGTGCCCCTGCCCACGGAGCCACACTTTTGAGGAGAGAAAATGAGACTGACTAGTGAATGGTGTGAGAGAACTTGGAATAGCAGGTTCAGATTTTCTGTACATCACCAGGAAATTAAATATCTGTGTTCATGTCACGTGTATCTCCAAACACTCACCTAGAACCGGATCCTGCTGTCATTTACACCTGTGTACGGTCTTCCTTCAGGCAAGTTTTCCTTATTCAGAGCAGTATTTAAGCACATGCTTAAGCGCAATTGAAGTCTATTGGGGTTTAAGCACACGCATAAGTGCTGCCCTGAATTAAGGCCTATGATGAGGTTGTGTGGCCTAGTGATAGGACCCCTGGACTAGGACTCAGGAGATATGGGTTCTTTTCCTGTCCCTGGCCTGTTGGGGGACTCTGGGTGTCTCTGTGCCTCAGTTTCCCCATCTGTAAAATTGGGATAATGATACTGCCCTCCTTTCTAAAGCACTTTGAGAACTAAGAGGTAGGTGGTATTGTTGCCAAGAGTAAATACAGTGGAGTTACTCCAGTGTGAAAGTGGTATAAGTAAAAACAGAATGCAGTCTGTTAATTTGGGGGCTAATGTTAAAAATTCCAGTTAGAGACACCCAAAAGGACTTGTTCAGATTTTTTTAAAGTAAAGAGTTAATTAAACCCAGAGAGAAATAACTAGTGTTTTGCTTAAAAGGCTGAGGTGTGAATGACCAAAAAAGAAAGAGGACTCGCATGAGGACAGAATTCAGTGTTGTCCCTTCCTCACTGCATTTCCAAGAGAGAGGAAACATCTCTTATTAGTTATTATTTGTATGACTGAGCACCAAGGAGCCCTAGTCATGGACCAAAAGATGGACCTTGTCCCCTTCTGATCTAAGTATAAGACAAGAGACAACAGACTGACGGGGATTGTAAGGAAATGAGACAACACTAGTCAGCGTGATCAGCAGTGGTCTCAGCACACCAGCAGTTAGCTGCGAAAAGTTTTTTATAACATCACAGCCAAGGAGAGTTTTGAGGTGGGATCTGAAGACGGATGAGGCAGCTTTGTTGAGAGAGAGAAGCTATGGTTGATTGCAACAAATGGCACATAGAAGAGTTTCGAATCATAGCCAGTCTTGGTCTGCACATGGGAGAGCTGAAGTATTTGCAGTGTGATGAGTTGCTACCATGCATCATATTCCACGTGCTACTAAAAAAAAGACAAAAAAGAAAAGCGAGGCTGAAATCTTTAAACTGCTTGTTTGAGAGAAGATTCAGTAGCTACCCCTGGGTTACTCTGCTGAGCTGCTGCAGGGACCTCTCTCCTCATTTGATCTTAGCTTCCAAGACTTCTGTTGCACCTCACTAGAAATATGGTTTCCCCTTGCCACTGACGGGTCCTAGGGAGTCTAGCATAAGGGATAAAGTGACTTTTGGAAGATAAACGACAGCAAATGAACATGCCGCAGGCAAACACAGAAGCATCATCAGCGGAGGCTGGCTCAGCCAACCACTTCACTGGGCGGAAAAGTCCCGCCACATCCGTACCTAGAGAGCGTGTTGTCACAATCCAGATACAGCTCCTGGCCTGATTCTGAGGCCTGGGCACTTTTCTAGGTTAGCAGGAGAACGGAGAATACTTTGTTTTATTGCTTCCCCCGCCCCTTCCCAAGGTTTTGTTTCTCACTCAATTTCATTCACCAGCTGCATTAGCCCTGAGCTGGGCCTGGTCATCTCCAGGGAGAGCCTTCGCCATGCTCCTGATTGAAGCTCACAGATCCCCTGATGCAGATGCACAGCCCTGATTGGTATAGGCCTGCCAGGGGCTTTGTGTGCTGCAGCAGGCCTGCCTGTGCACTGATACATAACTCCTAAAAGAGATAAGAAGGTAACAATATTATCTGAATCAGAAAACAGACTTGGGGTTTGTTTGCAATTTGGAGTAAGGCTCTTTATACTTTCCAGACCGTTTCCCCCATCTTTACTTCTAGCCATCTTTAATAACCGTGACACACAGGAATCGAAGATCAGTCCAACGGGCCATGTAAACTCTAGCTCTGCCAATGGTTAGAATTAGAGGTTTCTGAAGGAGGTGCAGGAAATCCCGCATTAGGCAAGTATGAAATAACCAGCCCCCAGAGAAAGTATCTTCCTAATCGCCGTTAGGTTGGCTTAGTGCCCTGAAGTTTGAGAGTTTATATCCCTTCCAAAATGTTAGATTTTGTTTTAATCCTTCCTAGTGTAACTCTGTGGCAATGAGTTCCACTGGCCAATGGTGCTTTGTATGAAGCAGTATTGTGTTTTCTCTGTGTTCATTTCCTGGCGTGTCCCCTTGTTTCTGCATGCTCAGGGAAGGTGGATAGAAGTGCACCACACTTGTCTCAGTGCTGTAGTGTTCTTTGGCCAGACAGTCATTTTGTACAATATCGTAATTTGGACTGTGTTCCAGTGTTAATCGGAAACTCAGCCTTGTCTTCCATGAGTCAGCATGTCAGTGTATTACCCCACTCAGATAACCATGAGCTATTGTTTTTAAATTTAAACCAGAAGGTTGGATAGACAATAAGCCCTGACCTTCAGAAGGACTGAGTAAAATATTTTACATGATCTAGAGGGAAAAGCCTTAAATTCAGTGACTTTGCAAAGCGGATTTGCTGAAAGGCTGATGCTGTAGTGAAAGCAGACAGCTGTGAGTGGTGAGTTCCAGGTTCAATTCCCTGCTCCACCAGAGATGTCTCATGCAATCACTTGTGTGCAACACAAGGAGACGAATAGTAGGAGAGGGACCTAGGTGCAGTGATGGATTAACACTCAGTCGAGCCTGAGTCCAGTCGAACCATAAGGCTTCACACTGCATGTACCGGGGTCCCTGGCACTCCTGGTACCTTGGCCTTCTATGCTACTTGCTGCTCCCAAGACACTTTGGCAGAAGATCCCCACTGCACGGATGTTGTGCACATCCATGGGACCTCACGTAGCCCAGCCATGGATCCTACTTTAATTCACCCCTGACAAGAAGCTCTCTCCTTACACCTGCTTGAGGGCTGGGTACCACATGGGTGGGAAGTGCAGGTGCATGACCAGTTAACGTGTGTTAAAGATGCTAAACCCTGCCGCTATTAGCTGCTAAATGATGTTTAAAACCATGTTAATTAACATGCATTAGCTAATATGGTTTAAAACAACCTACTATCCTTGTCTAGGCATGCCCTATTTAAAATCCAGACACCCCTGCACAACATGAAGATAGCCCATACAGCAGCTCCAATCTTCTCCCTGACCTGGGGTGCTCCAAGGGTTCCTCCTTGTAGGCCGCTCTGCTCACATACTAGATCTTCTTTCCTGAAAGCAACACTTCCTCCGCTCTCATACCTAGGCAGGGAAACAAGTCACCTGATTTAGTGAGACAGCAGAACTCACTTTCTCCTCTCCCAGCAGGGTGAGGCCCCAGCTAACAAGGTCCTCATACACTGCTGTCCTGTTACATTCCAGTTCCCTTTTACATTTCTGGCACAGCACCGTGGTGATATAACAGGTATTTTTGCCAATGACATTTTGCTGAGGACTTGGACTTACACAAAGGGTGAAATCCTGTTTCCATTGACATCAGTGGGAATTTTGCCATTGTCTTCAACAGGGCCAGGATTTCACCATAGCGTCTTTTGTGCAAGGATCACAACGTGCTATATAAGATTAACTAACGACTGCACAGAATGGGACTTTTGCCTGACCTCCCCTACGGACTAGTCCTCTGCTCCAGTGGGGCACCAAAAAGACATGTTGAGTGTTGTGGCATTTGTAATGGTACTGGAACAAGCTGGCCACAGTCAAGATGTTTTCTGCGGTACTCATAAAAATCAAATAAACCAACAATGTGTTGAATTAACTTTGCTGGCAGGGGACATTGAGAGTCTATTGGTAAAGTAACTGGAATGTGATGCTTTTGCTATGCAGGTCATTTCTAGGGGGAGTGTAGCATTGTACTCCTGTGTATGAACCAACAAAAGAATGTAAATGTATGAGAGTCTCACAGTCAAATCAAAATGTCTGTGTTTCTTGGTCACCGGCTAGGGATTAGTAAAGCACCATTAACCCTCCTGTAAAAACACACCAGCTCTGGCTTTCTTTCGTCCCAAACACAGGTTTATAAACACAACCTTATCACTCAGAGACTGTTTATCTTCATGTGCTATAAATGGATTCCAAAAAAGCACCAGTAGCTAATGAAATTAATCTGCTGTTTGGGGATACAATTTTCTCCGTCCAATCAAAAAAAAAAAAAAAGACGGAGATAAGAGTAACAGCAGAGTTTAGTTTATTTTCACTGCTTCCCCCATTAATTTAGAAGCCTTGTTAATAAATTTTAAAAAGCTGGGAGGGAAGGAGAACATATCTATGACTTTTCTTGTTGTTTAAACAAGCTTTCTAAAAGCAATTCAAAGGACAGGACTTTGTAGTTTGGGCTCTGGGAAGATTCTGAACACATTTTGTAATTTATGATCATTCACTTGGGGAAGAGGTTAATGGCAAAGGAACCCTAATTATAGACTCCCTAACTCAGCACAGCATACTTTGGGCTCCATTTTTAATTATTTTCTATTTATATTCAAGCTTCCAGGGGCTAATTGCCCAGCAGAAGGCCGCCAACTAACCTCGTCCACTAAAAGCTTCATTTATTCTTAATAACATGTTTATATATCTAGCATCATTTTTCATTAGCAGGTCAGGTTTGTCATGCATGGTTGGTAAGGAAATGATTAAGGAATCCCAGAAACAGTGGAAGATCCTATTAAGGAACAGCAAAATTTGTATGGTAACAAAACACTTTCCCCACTATTTGAAAATCAGTTCTTAGATATAGTCAGTGTACAGCAGTAGACCAGCAAAACTTGGCGACCACACGTCAGGTTGCTACGTCCCAATTAGTCATGTAAGCCTTGACCAAAACATAAATTATCACCAGAACTGTTGTTTTTATCAATGGGAAAGGGCCTTGGGTACAGAAGAATTGAACCAATACGTCTCACACAGGTAGGAAAATATTATTGCAGACTGTAAACTTGTCAGTACTTAGATGGGTAACTCATATCAAGTTGCTATATCGCAGTGTCCAGGCCAAACGCAGTGTCCAGGCCAAATAAAGCTTTTGGGGGGGGCGGAAGGAGTGCTAGAGGGACTTCCTAAAAGAAACCTCACTGCATGAATGGAAAACAAAGGGAACTGGGGCTGAGTTAGGAAGATGAGTTAGCTTACTTTTATTATTTATTCAGATCACAACAGGCCCTAATCATGGACCCAGGACCCTGTTGTGTTAGGCACTGTACAACCACACAACAAAAAGGCAGTCCCTGCCCCAAAGAACTTACAGGCCAAGTACAAGACAACAAGGTCATACAGACAGACAAGGGAGTCCCAGGAAACAAGGTATTAGCCAGCATGATAGCCAGGGATCTCAGTGTACCAGTTGCCCAACCGTTGCGTTCATAACCAGACTAACCAGCTTTCAGACATGAATCCAGTTCATTATCTAAGCCCAACCATCAACACTTATCAATGCAAAAACATCTATAGATCATGGAACTACAGCGCTGATTCCATAGTTAAAATGGGAGAACAATCACCCCCGAATCCAGCTGCTCACTGACAAGGAAAGGTCATGTCACCAGCGATGTTCCAGAGAGAGCTGGTCGCCTGATACAGGATCATTCTTTTGGCAAAACTGGAAGTGAGGCTGAGCCATTTCTGAGCTATGTGACTTCTCACAGCTGCGGGGATTTCACTTTCTGAAATGTCGTGGGAGTGCAGCTGGCGGAAATGTTTTGAGGAGTAATGAGAAATTTGGTTGAATTTTTATGAAGAAAAAAAAAATGAAAGGAACATTTTGGACAAAATGTCCCCTTCTTTTTTATGCAATTGTAGAGATGCTTGAAATAGCCAAATTCAGACATTTTGATCATTTCAATGAAAAAACAGGTTTCAGAGTAGCAGCCGTGTTAGTCTGTATCCGCAAAAAGAACAGGAGTACTTGCGGCACCTTAGAGACTAACACATTTATTAGTTTTTTTTTTAAATGGCAATTTCTTCCTTGGCTTTTGGACCACCTCAGCTTCTAAGATTTTGGTTTTTGGTTTTCAGGGAGGGGATGTGCAGGGCCATCCCTAGGGAGGTGTGGGGCCCAGGACATAGACACTGAGCTTCTAATCTACTGTGGGGTGTTCCCCCTGGCTCCACCTACACCCCACCCCCACTCCACCCCTTCCCCCAAGGCCCCACCCCCTCCCTGATTCCCACCTCACCCCCGCCTCTTCCCCACCCAGTTCCACCCTCTTCACGAGTGCGCTGCACCCTCGCTCCTCTCCCCTCCCCCCAGCGCCTCCTGGTGCTGCGAAACATCTGATCCACGGCAGGTGGTAGGCACTGAGAGGGAGGCAGAGGTATGGATCAGTGGGGCCTGCTGGTGGGCAGGAGGTGCTGTGCGGAGGGGGAGGTTCTGGTAGGGGGGCTGCCAGTAGCTGCTGGTGGATGCTCCAGTTCCGGAGCATGGGGACCCCCAAAGTGTGGTGCCCAGGGCAATCGCCCTGATTCGCCATACCCAAGGGACGGCTCAGGGGGTGTGACACTTCCTGCAGTACCCAGGTTGTGAGGCACCTCGCTACCACCTGCCCTTCGGCTGAAGAAACCTTGTCTGTGCTTGCCATGAGTCAGTTCCCTGACTCCATTGGCCAAAGTCAACACATGCACTCTTCTAGGCCTACGCAGGCCCTGCTGTCTCTTTACATAGAATCATAGAATCATAGAATATAAGGGTTGGAAGGGACCCCAGAAGGTCATCTAGTCCAACCCCCTGCTCAAAGCAGGACCAATCCCCAACTAAATCATCCCAGCCAGGGCTTTGTCAAGCCTGACTTTAAAAAGCTCTAAGGAAGGAGATTCTACCACCTCCCTAGGTAACGCATTCCAATGTTTCACCACCCTCTTAGTGAAAAAGTTTTTCCTAATATCCAATCTAAACCTCCCCCACTGCAGCTTGAGACCATTACTCCTCGTTCTGTCATCTGCTACCATTGAGAACAGTCTAGAGCCATCCTCTTTGGAACCCCCTTTCAGGTAGTTGAAAGCAGCTATCAAATCCCCCCTCATTCATACAAGTTAGTAACAGGCACTCTCCAACCCCGGAGACCTCCGAGCATCTGCCTGAAGTGTCCAGTCCCTGATCCACTGGTCACTCACAGATTCGCTGCTTTCAAACAAGCAGTACAGCTCACATCACCGTTCCACTTAACACACAGCACTTAGATATGTTTATGATTAAGGCTAAGATTTAGTCATGGGTATTTTTAGTAAAAGTCATGGCCAGGTCACAGGCAAAAAAGCAAAAATTCACAGCCAGTGACCTGTCCATGACTTTTACTATAAATATCCCTGACTAAATCTTAACTGTTCCTGGGGCCCTAGGGTGCTGCTTCTCTGGAGGGCTCTGGGGGCTGATGGCTGGCCCCTGCTCCAGCAGTGGGGATTGACTGACCCTGGCCACCTGCTGCTCCAAGGCCCCTGGGGCCACCCCCAAGACTGCTTCTCCAGGGCGGCCCCCAAAACCGCTGCTGCTCCGGTGGCCCCCAGGGCCAGCCACACTGGCCACTGCTCAGTTGGCTCTGGGGCCGGCTGCTCGGGCAGCCCTGAGGTCAGCTGCACAGGCCGCTGCAGCTGCAGAAGTCTCAGAGGTCCCAGAAAGTCACGGGATCTGTGATTTCTGTGACAGACTCACAGCATAATTTATGCTGAAATCAAATAAAGGTTATTTAATGAAGTGTTGAGATTCATGTGATAGCAAGTAGAAGTATTGGAACTAAATGCGTACATGTAAAATAAAATCATAACACGCCTTCTATAGCCAAGTCTAACTTAACTAGATACTTTCCTGTCTTATGGAGCAATGCTCATCCGACATCTTCCCAGTAACTCACAGCCAGGCTTGGCGTGATCTTCTGATCACGAGACATGTCGTGCTGTCAGCATGCCTCCTGGGTGAAAGATACAGGGTATCTGTTTGCACCCCCAGATAAATCAGAACAATCCATTGTCCTTATTTATAAGCAGGCTGTCTCCCCCACTGGTTGTTTTTTCCTGAATATTTCTTTCTTGTATATTTCACAATCTCTTAATCAGCGTCTGGCTCAGTATGAAAATAGGCCTCCATTGTGAGGCACACAACACACAATGACCAGACAGGGAGATAAGCCTCTGTTACCTACTGCCTGAAAGGAACCTCTCCAAGACATGTCACTTCCTGGGGACCTGCCTTAAGAACATGTTTTCAGTACCGACACAACTCCTTACATGTCATCCATACACAAATGTTTGCAATGATTATG